ACAATAAATAATTCAACCTATGATATAAATATTTTTCTGTTTACTTGTTTTATTATACGAACCATTCGCCAAAGTATCAACAGCATTTATTATGAGAGTGGAACAGTATGTTTATGTTAGAAAAGTATGATGAATAAACGATCTAGCATTAGTTGTCATTTCACATGGTTGAGAACAGTATAGTTTGGTACATTATTAAATTTTCCTCATATTACTATAACTGCAAATTCTGAATTTAAAATCGGTTTAGAGTAATTCTTTGTTCGCAAGATGCATCAGTAAAAAAGTTACAACAAATAAAATTGCAATCACTTCGGTACTCCCTCATACAATTTTATTTGCGTAAGCCTAACAAAAAGTGTGCACAAAAGAAACATAGATATACATATACTACAATTAAAGTACCTTATCCATGACGCCTTTTATTTTCCTTGTACTAAAGTCATTGATATTTATTAACAAAACTGTAACCAATGAATTTCAAGAATTTGAACCATCTGATCTTCCGATATAAATCAACATTGGATCCAGTTTTATCAATATAGCCTCGTTATCACTTTCCGAGTCTAAAAATTCATATCACATTCATATTGTACTTCATCTAGAATCGTTATCGTATTCCGAGTCCAACAAATTCATGTCAAGTTTTATTTGCACTCCATCTTACATCGTTGTCATTTCCTGTATTGAAAAAAAATCTTTATCAAATCCATTTTGTATTGAAAATTACGCTGCTTTTCGTTACTTATTTTTGTCAAATTACCCGTATCGGATGCTTTCTAGAGCCTCGTCAGCAAATACGATTGTGTACTCATGCAAGTACTCAACAATAGAAACCTCATAATATTATATGGCAACTTAAGTGAGTTCCTATATTATCATAGAGATGAAAAGGAATGTAAATAAATCACTACATATTTACCTTTCTGTATATTCTGTCATTGATTCAAATACATTTTTCTTCTTTTTCATTGTCATAATGTTTAGAAAGACATATGTTTCTCTTATAATTTAATTTTCGTTCTTACCGTAGTAAGCTTTTATTTAAAACATGTCTTTTAACCAGATTTGTTAATTAAAAATGTGGCCCTATAAACAAAACGTACATTATGTACTGTAAAACTCAAACCGGAATTACGAAAGAACTATTTTGGGATATATAATCAGAAAGACTTTCTTGACGCCACAGTTTATGATCACATTACTGATGCAATGTCATATTCAATATCATATTCAGACATAAGGTAAGGAGATGACAAATGTGATTAGAAAAACTTTAAAGGAGCTAAGCAATCAGGTGTCAAACTTAAAACAAACACAGCAATAATTAAATAGAAGTTATCAATGACAATCCAGATCAAGTTAGATCACAAACTGGAATAGTATTAAATCACCTTAATGTCTTTTGACAGTGTGAGTTGCAGGCTTCATAACTTCTGATCGTGTGTGTATTTGAGTTTATTTAAACTCACCACCGGTTGCCCATATGGGCGAGTCCTCCAGAAGAGTATTAGTCATTTTATATTTTGGAGGATAGTTCAAGATACAGATACTGAAGGATGCCACGATTCCAGAAGCTTCTCCTGGTTCTTAACGTGCCAAGTGTTTAAGCACTCATACACGGAACCTCGATTTAAAGTCTCATCCGAAAGACTGATTAGTAATTTTAGTTGACCAGCCAGGGAATCGAACCCGCAATGTCGAGATTACAAGTCTCGCGCTCTCACTAAGTTCTTCTATGTTTATTTATCAATGCCCCCTCCTAAGCAGAACTCAACATGGAAACACACAAACCATTCAAATAACTGTCAATTGAACTTTAAAAGGAAAAGTTAACCAAAAATCTGCTTTGTAAAAATGAGTGTAAATATAATGTTTGGTTAATGCAAATGAAACCATTTTAGTTTGAATATGTATTATGATTATTATGGTCGCTGATTTATGCAATGTCGTATTTTCGCTTCTTCGCCTCATAGCCAAAACACGGAGAGACGACTAAGTTGGACTTTGTTGTCTCTCCGTGCTTTCGCTTTTTTCGGATTTTCGAGGCAGGAAAAAACAACAGAAATACGAAATAAGGAGGGCGAAACTATGACACATAAAAGTTGTCATATATTCGCATTCCATCTGTCGTCGTATTTTCTTTTCTTCGCGTTCAAAAGACAATAATGCGAAAACACGAATAGACGACAAACTATAACTTTCGCCTCGAAAATCCAAAAAAGCGAAAACACGGAATACTGTTACTTCAACAAAACGGTCAGTCACTGGCCATTTCGATAAATCATCATGCCTCACAGAAGTATAAATACTGTTACTTCAACAAAACGGTCAGTCACTGGCCATTTCGATACATCATCATTCCGCACAGAAGTATAAATATTGTTACTTAAACAAAACGGTCAGTCACTGGCCATTTCGATACATCATCATTCCTCACAGAAGTATAAATACTGTTACTTCAACTAAACGGTCAGTCACTGGCCATTTCGATACATTACCTTTCCTCACAGAAGTATAAATATTGTTACTTCAACAAAACGGCCAGTCAATGCATGACCATTTCGATACATCATCATTCCTCACAGAAGTATAAATACTGTTTCTTCAACAAACGGTCAGTCACTGGCCATTTCGATACATTACTTTCCTCACAGAAGTATAAATATTGTTACTTCAACAAAACGGCCAGTCAATGCATGACCATTTCGATACATCATCATTCCTCACAGAAGTTTAAATACTGTTACTTCAACAAAACGGTCAGTCACTGGCCATTTCGATACATCATAATTCCTCACAGAAGTATAAATACTGTTACTTCAACAAAACGGTCAGTCACTGGCCATTTCGATACATCATCATTCCTCACAGAAGTATAAATACTGTTACTTCAACAAAACGGTCAGTCACTGGCCATTTCGATACATCATCATTCCTCACGGAAGTATAAATACTGTAACTTCAACAAACGGTCAATCACTGGCCATTTCGATACATTATCTTTCCTCACAGAAGTATACATACTGTTACTTCAACAAACGGCCTGTCAATGCATGACCATTTCGATACATCATCATTCCTCACAGAAGTGTAAATACTGTTACTTCAACAAAACGGTCTGTCAATGGCCATTCCGATACATCATCATTCTTCACAGAAGTACAAATATTGTTACTTCAACAAAACGGTCAGTCACTGGCCATTTCGATACATCATCTTTCCTCACAAAAGTATAAATGCTGTTACTTCAACAAAACGGTCAGTCACTGGCCATTTCGAGACATCATCATTCTTCACAGAAGTATAAATAGTGTTACTTCAACAAACGGTCAGTCACTGGCCATTTCGATACATTACTTTCCTCACAGAAGTATAAATATTGTTACTTCAACAAAACGGCCAGTCAATGCATGACCATTTCGATACATCATCATTCCTCACAGAATTATAAATACTGTTACTTCAACAAAACGGTCAGTCACTGGCCATTTCGATACATCATCATTCCTCACAGAAGTATAAATACTGTTACTTCAACAAAACGGTCAGTCACTGGCCATTTCGATACATCATCATTCCTCACAGAAGTATAAATATTGTTACTTCAACAAAACGGTCAATCACTGGCCATTTCGATACATCATCATTCCTCACGGAAGTATAGATACTGTAACTTCAACAAACGGTCAGTCACTGGCCATTTCGATACATTATCTTTCCTCACAGAAGTATAAATACTGTTACTTCAACAAAACGGCCTGTCAATGCATGACCATTTCGATACATCATCATTCCTCACAGAAGTGTAAATACTGTTACTTCAACAAAACGGTCAGTCACTGGCCATTTCGATACATCATCATTCTTCACAAAAGTATAAATGCTGTTACTTCAACAAAACGGTCAGTCACTGGCCATTTCGATACATTATTATTCCTCACAAAAGTATAAATGCTGTTACTTCAACAAAACGGTCAGTCACTGGCCATTTCGAGACATCATCATTCTTCACAGAAGTATAAATAGTGTTATTCAACAAAACGGTCAGTCACTGGCCATTTCGATACATCATCATTCCTCACAGAAGTATAAATACTGTAACTTCAACAAAACGGTCAGTCACTGGCCATTTCGATACATTATCTTTCCTCACAGAAGTATAAATATTGTTACTTCAACAAAACGGCCAGTCAATGCATGACCATTTCGATACATCATCATTCCTCACAGAAGTATAAATACTGTTACTTCAACAAACGGTCAGTCACTGCCATGGCCATTTCGATACATTACTTTCCTCACAGAAGTATAAATATTGTTACTTCAACAAAACGGCCAGTCAATGCATGACCATTTCGATACATCATCATTCCTCACAGAAGTATAAATACTGTTACTTCAACAAAACGGTCAGTCACTGGCCATTTCGATACATCATCATTCTTCACAGAAGTATAAATAGTGTTATTCAACAAAACGGTCAGTCACTGGCCATTTCGATACATCATCATTCCTCACAGAAGTATAAATACTGTAACTTCAACAAACGGTCAGTCACTGGCCATTTCGATACATTATCTTTCCTCACAGAAGTATAAATATTGTTACTTCAACAAAACGGCCAGTCAATGCATGACCATTTCGATACATCATCATTCCTCACAGAAGTGTAAATACTGTTACTTCAACAAAACGGTCAGTCACTGGCCATTTCGATACATCATCATTCTTCACAGAAGTATAAATATTGTTACTTCAACAAAACGGTCAGTCACTGGCCATTTCGATACATCATCTTTCCTCACAGAAGTATTAATATTGTTACTTCAACAAAATCAAAGTTTTTGATCAGTGTAAAGCAGAATTCAGTTACCTAAACGCGTATGTCACTTTAAGTGCTGTTATTAGCCTGGCGGGAATATGACATTTTAGACTTTCATAATTATTCGTAATTACCGATTAGCAGCTGTTACGCCACATCAAAGAATGGCTGGAATTTTATGTTAACGTCGTAATAGTCTGTTGTTGTAAGGGTGAGCATTAATAAGTGTTATAGCAGTCCGATAACTAATGTTGAGATTGAAAACAAGGAATTTAACTATACATCCGGTTTTTCATTACGTATGTGTTGTTTTTTTTTTACGATTGATTGGCTATTTTAGAAGTTACAATATGTACATATGGCACATGATTTGGACCGCAATGTGGATATTTTATGTCATTTAAAATTCTCAATATTTATAATGTCGTAATAAATTGCCAAACCTTTTCCGGAAAACAGTTTCTTCATATTAAGTTATTCGTTTTTTCCTGTATAATACCGATATTGGCTTTGACTGCAATGTAATTTAATATTTATTAATCCGTTTCAGTTTTCAATGTTTTAATAAGCTATAAATTCAAAATATGGCTCCTTTTTTTCAGAAAAAAATAAATTGTCAAAGGACAGACTATGCTTGTACTGAGAATTTTCACCCTTACGTTATTGACTGGTATAATGAGAGTATCTTCTCAGCTCTGTGAAAAAGGAGTAACAAAAGATGGTCACTACTGTCGAGATACTGGTCCATTTTACAAAGGACTTGGTCGGTGTGCAAGAAGTACTCAAAGTGGATTTATTAGAAAGTGTGGTTTTGTGGGCTCTAGCTGCCGTTGTCGATCAAAACTTATATTGAACGCTTTTATCAATATGCATGCGATGATAAACTTATAAAATTCATTTCACAAATTTACATAAAAGTCGTGTTGAAAAGTAAAAGTCCGATGAGACAGCTACATATGACGTTTGATTGATTGAGATGAAGTGATGATATGTAAGGTTCATTGTTTTGTGAAAACTTTTATCATCAAAATCTAATTCAGATTTGTTTAACTTCATTGCTTTTGTTTGATATTTAAGAAATAAAATAAAGCTTATTACTAACAACATGTAAATTTAGGTTTTGATGCATCACATGACATTTTTAAACATTTTCCATTCTTACAATATTATGCGCAAGTAAAATTAAGAAACAGAATAATTCCAAATATTGTATTCAGAATTATCTTGGCATATATATATATATATACACATGTATATATATATATGATGTATACACATATATGTGATGTATATCTATATTGATGTTCTTTTCCAGTTATGCTTGCAGAAATGTTTATAAGCGTCAATATTTTAATGAAAATATGTAATAATATTGTGTCACAAAACGGGAAAAGTATAAAAGCTACACTAGAAAAATACTTACCATTGAAATTGGAAATATTTGCCTGGAACAGGTTGTATGTATATAATCAAATATTAAAAGATATACAGAAAAAGTAGGAAATATCTTTCAAGTCAAGGACGCCGCTATTGGCGGTGGTTCAATGTTACGGTAGACCAATACCACGTTATCAACTACAGATGCTTGAATACTTTATTTTAAACTTTACTACTTTTACCGACGAGAAAGATGATTTCCACTTAAATTGCATGATTGTGTCTTAATCGCAGTCGAACAGGTCGTCAATAGAAAGATTCGAAGTTGTACAAGAGGTATAGATAGAATTAGCAATGAATTATGTTCAAAGGGTGTATAAGAAATTTAGGTATGCAATACATTGTAGGAATTTTAACTCACTATCTTTTATACAAACATGAAACTTGAAAATGTTAGTAAGTAATGGTTATGGTAAGCAATGGTGCTATGAATGCTGTATTTTGGGGAAAAATACGTAATGAATACGTCAAATAATGATATTGGCTGCTTGCTTTGACTGCTCGTACTAATAAAAATTTAGTATGGAATGATTGAATATTTTCTTTTTTTTCAGATGTCGCAAAGTATGTCTATTTAGAAGTGGTAGATGATATTCCTCCTACCATAACTCAGTACATGGAATATGTTACGTTTCCGTGTAATTAGTGCAATTTTTTGTCGTCATTTTCGGGATGATAACATTTAACCGAAAAAAATCTTCGATATATTCAGCTATTTGAACACGACATGCCACAGGGATAAGACGCTTTGATCCTACCGCTACCACTCACCCCGCCGTCCAGTCCGTACAACCACCAAACATATAAAAAAAAGTCATTTTTCACATTTAGTATTGAAAACACCAATAATAAGAAACTACTAGGCACTTTTCATAATACAATGTACCTATATAGTATTAGTTATAAGTTTTATTTGTATGTTAGAGGGGTGTAGCAGGGATTTGAGGGTAGGATGTGGGAGCGGTAGTGTATGGGGATCATATCAGATCAAAGCGTCAAGTATCCCTGTGCTACATGCATTAAAATCGATATCGGGGAAAATATTTTTCGGATTCTCTTGTCTTGAATTAAACAGAAATCACCTGTGATAATATGTATCCAAAATCAGGGTTGCAAATTTGAAACCATTAAAATCTCAGAAACAACATCTAAAGCAGAAATTTATTGTAATTTCAAGAATATAATATTTCAAATAGGTGGCTTATATTTGTAGAAAATAATTGGAATTTCCGAGCTTTTGAAATGTTTAGAAATTGTGACAACACGTTCATCACAAAGAATACAAGTTAAATCGTTAGAATCAATACCTTTCTATAGAATATGGTCCGACATGTTGCCAATATGAGGACGAGTAAAACTTTGAACTAAGTAAGCTTCTGTATATGACGGATCTATTTGAATAACGATATTATCAGTTTCTTCAGAGAACGAAAAGTAAGTGAAGTTAGTCGTGATTAAATACAAGCAGACGCCAAATTTTAAATCCTAACACAGTCTTCTGTATATTGAAAGTTATAATTTGGTACTTTACAAAGATATGATATATTATATGTTATACTAGATTTTATCAGTGATATAAAATCCATATCACTAACAGTATTTCACTCGAAGCCAATGACTGCAATGGAAGTAACTGGTTGCTATGGAAAGTCAATCATGACAATGGAAAACACTGAGAACGTTGTGCTAAGGTTAGCTAAACAAGAGGGCCACGATGACCCTGAGATGCTCACCTGTATATAGGCCCCCGGGGCGGGGCCAATTTTAACCCAGGGGCTTTTATTTGAACAAACTTGGTAGACACCCATTTGAAGATGTTTCATGATAAATGTCTACTGTAAGCTCTAGCTCTAAGACGTTTTTAAGTTTTTACTATACACATATAGGGAAAAACAATGACCCCACCCCTCTCTCTGGGCGGGGCCAATTTCGTCCCCAGGGCTTTTATTTGAACAAACTTGGTAAAAACTCACCAGAAGATAAACATGCTTTATATCTAAACTCTAGCTCTTTTGGGCTTTTAAACAGAAGATTTTTAAAGTTTTTACTATATACATACACGGATTTATATTACATGTAATATAAATCCGTGATACATATGAGGATAATGAATGACTCCCTGGGCGGGGCCAATTTTAACCCCAGGGCCCTTATTTGAACAAAAATGGTAGACACATATAAGAAGATGTTTCATGCTAAATATCTTAGCTCTAGCTCTTAGGGTTTTATAAAAAAGATTTGTAAAAGATTTTTTAAGTTTTTACTTTATACATACTGATAAAGGGAAAAACAATGACCCCTGGGGCGGGGCTAATTTTTATCCTAGGGCTTTTATTTAGACACCCACTAGAAGATGTTTCATTCTGAATAGCTAAGCTCTAGCTATTTGTTTTTTTTAAAAGAAGATTTTTAAAGTTTTTACTATATACAAATAAGGATAATCAATGACCACCACCCCCCCCCACGGTGCGGGGCCAATTTCGACCCCAGGGCATTTATTTGAACAAACTTGGTAGACACTGACTAGATGATGCTTCATGCCAAATATTTAAGCTCTAGCTCTTTCGGTTTTCTAAAAAAAGATATTTTTTCGGTTGCCATGGCCACCACCCATACCCCACCGAGCCAATTTTGACCCCAGGGCATACATTTGATAGATCCTTTTTATGATTTTTGTGAGTCACTAAACGATCATAAATTTTTGCAATTATGATCTGATTTAGTTAAAGTAACTGTGGATAATGACAGATCGTGGACGGTGAACATGCCATCACAAAAGCTCACCTCATTGTGCATAAAGGTGAGCTAAAAAAGTACCTAGTACTAATTTCAAGATATACACTTTACAGAAATGAACTGCAATTTTTTAAAGTTTATTGATAGTTTAAACAAATTAATTTTGGGAAGTTGTCAAGACAAAAAATGAAGTGATTAAATTTTCCAACATTAGTCCACACAGAACATGCGACAATGTACCAGATTTTCCTTAACAAAGCACTTGATAATGTCAGACTAAGATGAGACAGATGAAATAATTCATGTCCATTTCTAAAACAATTGTAGTTTATAAGTTAAGAAATGGCCTAAACCATTAATCCACAATTTCACAACTTTAGACTTATCTTCTGCTCTGGATCATGATTATAAAAGTCTGTTAAACTTGCCCATATTCATTCCAGCGTGAGCTTCCATGTTTACTTTTAACATGCCTTAAACCACCAATTCTAAGATGATGTTTATAAATGTCATAATGGTATTCATCAAGAAATTTGTTTAAATCGGCTTTGTAACCAAACTCTATCTGGTTACATTTCACACCTGTAAAGAAATGGTCAAAATTTACTATCATCCAAAGGGCAATTATAGATGTTAATGTGAAGTTGTCTCCCTTCTACTGGAAACACAAATAATGGTATAGTTGTTGATTCATATAGTAAGGCTTCATCTGGGTCATACATATATACTCGAAAGTTTTCTTTTGAAATTCCAAGTAATGGAACAACACTCTGCATTGCAAAAGCAAATGTTATAGTCTTTGAAATCAACTGGTGTTTTGCCTCTTCAAGAATCCCACTTGTATCAAGTTCACACACAGTGTTACTGTCCTCTAAAACTTTGTCCTCAACTTTTGATTAAGCGCCATACACTTCCGAAGGTCCAAGCATTATGTCAACAATACCTTTCATTCAATACTGACATATTTTCTAGATTTTTATTTACGTCTTGACATTGGTAAGTCTTGTTCCGGTTGCGACATTTGATTATCGAACCAAATACATGCATGTACTTGTAACTACCCAAAGCTCGGTCTCTCCTCAATGACTGGAACAAAGTATGTTTGGTTAATATCCTGACATTTTAATAAACGACTGGAACCTTTATATACATTGACAATAAATACTAGAATATGAGCTCTTACCTCACATGAAGTTAATGTAACTAATTTCTAAAATGAATGTATCACTCCATGCGTTATATGCCAAGTGTTTGTCAAAACTGGGAACTGAAAGTGACAATAAACAAATGATTAATAGTTGAATTAGAAACAGTTTTCCTTTTAACTATTAACTTAATTATCATATACATGTCCATGATACAAAACGTATTTTACAGCCGAAAGAAAAACAGTTGTGACTTCAAGTATATCCGTGTACATAACTCGAACTGACTGTTTAATGATGTTGTAACCTTTAATGAAATAAGCCGATGTACTAAAATGTCAATTATTTTAAGCTATAAAGATAATATATCACCAGTCATCAAAACAACTTAACATTCCATTTGATGGGTTTGACAACTGATACAGCTAAAAAAACAAATACATATTTAAATACTCATTGACTGGAGATCAACAAACATACATCTTTAAAGTTTCCAGGGTTCAGAGCAAAGCTAGAATCGTGTAAGGGGAAGAGCTATAAAATGAAATTTCTTGGATTAAAAACAATTTGCGTTACAATTCTTGTTCTATTCTTTATAACAGCCAGCACTGACGGTCAGAAATGTAGAAGGGTTGGTAGATCTTGCAGAGATGTTGGACCATACATAAACGGAAAAGGGCAATGTGCAAGAAGTAGATCAAAAATGAGCTGTATTAGGATAGGAAGATTCTGTCGTTGCCGTTCATCTAGCATCATAGGTGTGATCGCCAACAATTGATCCGACTA